GGCCTCCTGAGCCTTCTGAGAAGCCTCGCCCCCTCTGCCTTCCCCCCTGGGCGCGCCGCCGAGAGAAGCGAAGGCCCTCGCCATCCTCAGCACCGACGACGCCCACGACCTCTACACCCGCACCTTCAACAAGGGCGCCTCCCTGCTGCAGCAGCGGAGCTCTGCTGGCTCCGCCAGGCGCGACGCCGCCTCCAAGGTCATCGCCGACGCCGCGAAGCGACTGCACAGCCAGGGGCTCTCCAAGCTGGTCCCCGAGGGGAGAAACACGATGACCGAGACCGAGAGAAGCCGCGGGCTTCTGTCGACGCCGGACATGGTCGTGGTCCATGCCAGCCGTCGCCGATTCGCCAGGAGGACCCACGGCTCGACGGTGACCAAGATGAGCGATGGCCAAGATCGACACCGAAGCTTCCGCGTCCAGTCTTGGTCATGGTCCTCGTGTTCTGTCCCTCCAGGCCCTGACGGTGAAGCTGGACGCGTTCGAGCGCGTGAAGAAGGCCATCGACGACATGCTGGCAGCGCTCCAGGCGGCTGGCCTCCTCTCGGGCGGCGGGGTCTGCACGTGTCCACCGCCCCCCTGGCCGGGCCCATCCTGGGTCCCAGGAGCGGCATGCCTGCCTCCCTGGCCCAGGCCAGGAGGGCGTATACACCGGTCCTGGGCTTGAGTCGGGCGTGTCCCTTCTGCAGGAGGAAGATTCGAACATAGTAAAGAATAATCGTCTGAGGACGCTTGCATGACTAGTTTTGAATCAGTTTGAGCATTTTTGGTTTATGTAATGCTGTTCCCCTCAGATCCGCCTGCAGGAGGACATGCCCGAGCTCATCCTGGGCCCGGGCTGGGCCTGGCCAGGGGCGGTGGACGTGTGCAGACCTCTGCCCGCCGCGCGCCGCATCGTTCCTGGTGCCACTCTCCCTCGCGCGGCCTTTCCTGCCGCATCTCGCCTTTCCGCAGAGGCTGCCGCGCGATCCCGACCCGACTGGCGCATGCAGTGGGGGAATGGCTTTTGTCGGGATTTCCCGCCCCATCGAACGTCGTCCATCGTCCTTTAACAGGAGGATGGTTGCTCTCGGAGCGGACCTAGTTTCGCTTGCATGGACTGTGACCTCGGGAACACGGACCCACTGTTTTTCCAAACCAGACGGGTCGATACGACGGCAGCCCCGCGCAACCCAAGTGTCCCAAAGTGGTGTTTGCTGGAGCGGAGGAGGAGGAGGAGGAGGAGGAGGAGGAGGAGGAGGAGGAGGAGGAGGAGGAGGAGGAGGAGGAGGAGGAGGAGGAGGAGGAGGAGGAGGAGGATGGAGTAGGAGGAGGAGGGAGGAGGAGGAGGAGGAGGAGGAGGAGGAGGAGGAGGAGGAGGAGGAGGAGGAGGAGGAGGAGGAGGAGGAGGAGGAGGAGGAGGGAGGAGAGGAGGAGGAGGATGAGGAGGAGGAGGAGGGAGGAGGAGGAGGAGGAGGAGAGGAGGAGGAGGAGGAGGAGGAGGAGGAGGAGGAGGAGGAGGAGGAGGAGGAGGAAGAGCGAGGAGGAGGAGGAGGAGCGAGAGGAGGAGGAGCGAGGAGGAGGAGGAGGAGGAGGAGGGAGGAGGAGGAGGAGCGAGGAGGAGGAGGAGGAGGAGGAGGAGGAGGAGGAGGAGGAGGAGGAGGAGGAGGAGGAGGAGGAGGAGGAGGAGGAGGAGGAGGAGGAGGAGGAGGAGGAGCGAGGAGGAGGAGGAGGAGGAGGAGGAGGAGGAGGAGGAGGAGGAGGAGGAGGAGGAGGAGGAGGAGGAGGAGGAGGGAGGAGGAGGAGCGAGGAGAGGAGCGAGGCGGAGGAGGAGGAGGAGGAGAGGAGGGAGGAGGAGGAGGAGGAGGAGGAGGAGGAGGAGGAGGAGGAGGAGGAGGAGGAGGAGAGTGAGGAGGAGGAGGAGGAGGATGGAGGGGGAGGAGGGAGGAGGAGGAGCAAGGAGGAGCGAGGAGGAGCGAGGAGGAGCGAAGAGGAGCGAGGAGGCGCGAGGAGGAGCGAGGAGGAACCAGGAGGAGCCAGGAGGAGGAAGAGGAGGAAGAGGAGGAAGAGGTGGAAGAGGAGGAGGAGGAGGGGGAGCAAGGAGGAGCGAGGAGGAGCGAGGAGGAGGAGGAGGAGGAGGAGGAGGAAGAGGAGGAGGAGTACCAGTGTAACCACAAGAGTCATCAACGATGCTGGAGTAAACCCTCCCTCCGAGCTTCCTCTTCATAGGCCCCTACAGCGGTTCATTTCCATTGACGGAACTGCTCCGTTGGAAGACAATCGTTGAAAGCCCCTAAAGCATGCCAACGCATTGTTCGGGATTCCAGCGCCACGGATCAACCTGACTATTGCGTCCGGACGATCGTGAAATGTGCCAGACCGCCATTCCTGGGACTTCAACACCGCGAATCAACGTAACTGTTGCGCCCGCATAATTCTGAACCTTTCCAAACCAACATGTCTAGTACGTTGACATGGGAGCCAGTGAAACTCTTGTATGTTTAAGCGAAAGTGCGCGGCGCTTAGGCGAGAGCCACATTCTGAAAACGGCCCGCCCTCAATCCGTAAAGCAGCTGCAACTTCTAAAACGAATGTGCGCGGCGCTTAGGCGAGAGCCACATTTTGAAAACGGCCCGCCCTCACTCCGTAAACCATTTGCAACTCTTAAAACGAATGTGCGCGGCGCTTAGGCTAGAGCCACATTTTGAAAGCGACTCGCCCTCAATCCGTAAACCATTTGCAGTTTTTGAAACGAATGTGCGTGGAGATAAGGCGAGAGCCACTCTTGCTGTTTTTCAGCGAATGTTCGCGGCGCTAAGGCGAGATCCACATATTGGAAAACGGCCCGCCCTCCATCGGTGAAATTGTTGCCAATGTTTCAGCTTCAGAGTCATAAGTGGTGAGGAAGTCTCAGGCGAAACGCCCAGCTCACCCTAAAAACTTGCCTCAGGGTGCGACATGGATAACTTATTCATAAGGAAAAGGAATGGAGGAGGAGATGGAGGAGGAGGTGGAGGAGGAGGTGGAGGAGAAGGAGAAGGAGAAGGAGGAGACGGAGGAGGAGGAGGAGGAGGAGGGGGAGGAGTGAGGAGGAGGAGAAGGAAGAAAGGTGCGGAAGAGGTGCGGAAGAGGAGCGCGGATGAGGAAGAGGGGCGAGGAGCATGGAGGAGCAGTGAGGAGGTGGAGCGAAGAGGAGGATGAGGGGTAGGTGGACGAGGAGAAGGAGCGTGGGAACGAGAGCAGGACTCTGCAGGAAACACCATTAGCACCAATCAGCAGTAATCAACGCCGAAGAGCATGAAGCAGCCGCGAACGACGGATCTTTGTAAAGTTGCGAACTGCCTCATTGCTCAGATGAAGACTCAGCTGCTCAGTTGATGAACCTCATCCGCGAAGCCTGATGGCTTCCAACAGGGTTGCCGATCGATTTACCTGAATCCTGAGGCCTTCGGGGCCCTTTTGAACCTTGCGCCTCTTGTGGGCTCTTGTGGTCCTTGGCCCGTGTGCCCCTTGCGACCCTGTGACTCTGTGTGACCTATTATGGGCCTTTGGACGCTTGTGACATTTGTGGCCCTTGTGACCCTAGGAGCCCTCGGAACCCTCGTGCTCCTTGCGTCTGTTGTGGTCCCTTGTGATCCTGCGGCCCTTGCGTCTCTTGTGGACCCTCGCGACCCTCGTGACCCCTGCAGCCACAGTGCTCCTTTGGACCCTTGTCGACTCTTGCGCCCTGCTGTAACACTGTGCTGCCCGTTGGGCCCTTGGGTCCCATGCGACTCTTGTGATCCCCTCGGCCCTGTGGCCATCGAGCCTCTTGTGGCCCTTGTGACCCTTGGGGCCCCCCACAACACGTGATCCAGTGGCCCGCCGGTGCCGTGCAGTGGCACCATGGTTCCGTGATGGCGCCGTGTCGCGCCGTACCCTGCCCTGGAGCCGTGGGGGCCGTGCCGCTGTGCCGTGCCGTGGTGCCGGGAGGCGTCCGGTGCCGTGGTGTCGTGCCGTGCCGTGCCGTGCCGTTGCTGCCTCTCTGTCGCTGTCTGGGGTCGTTCTTGCGGTGAGATGTCTGGGCCCACCCCAGGCGCGAAGACAGTCGCGCTTCGCGCGTCGCGGCTCTGGCTGGAGAGCTGCCCTTCTCCAAGGTCGCCTCGCGAGGACTCGAAGAGAGCCGCGCGCCGAGCACCGCTGGGGGCCATTCTCGAAAGGAAGTGCCCTTAGTTTGTGCAGTGTGCCTAGCATGCCTAGCAGCTGGCAGCCCACCTGCCAGCAGCGGGCCCTGAACCACGTAGCTGACTCGCGTGGAAGCCGCGCAAGAGGTCTTCTGCGTAGGTTGTTGGTGCGAGGGGCTTTCTGCCTGGCTGTTTGCCTGACCGTTGGTCGCGGTTGGTGGCAGTGCCTTGCGCAAGGTGGACCATGTCGCACGCAGAACATGACGCAAACATTCTGGCATGCCACTTTCATTTCGAAGCCCGCGACGCGCCATGGCCCGGATGTGGTTTTCCACGCATGTCGCTCGACGAAGCATGCCGCCAACCTCGCGACTTTGGCAAGATGTGCAATGTGCATGTGGTCGGAGGGGTTCACAGGAGGGCGACCCAGAGATGATAGCTTTGAGCTGCAAACGCGCTTGTAGCAGCACAGCGCGTTGAGGGAATTTTGAACAGCGCCATGGGCTCGGGGGCATAGCGGCGTAGAGCAAACACGGTATATGAAACGGAACCGGCATTCGCCCAGGAGCAGCAGGCTGCAGAGGTCAAGCACAAAGACTTCTGCGTGGCCGAGCTCGACGAGAACCAGCTCCAGACCGAGAAGAAGACCATGGAAAAGCAGGACCTTGAGGCCCTCATCGCCAAGCTGGAGACCACGATCAAGCACCTGACGGAGGCGCTCGAAACCCTCAAGGCAGAGATCGCGGAGATGGAGGTGCAGATGAAGCGCGCGGGGGAGACCCGCGAAAAGGAGAACGCGGAGTTCCAGGTTCGGCGGCGTGCCCAAGGGAGGGAAGCTGGAAGGGGCCGGCCTCCTCAGA